CACGCTGGCATGAGTTGGCGGCTCAGTGAAGGGGAGGGGGGGGGGGTGTAGTGCATGTCGTTCATTTGCCCTTTCCATAACGCTGGAAATCGAGAACATTTGCCATTTTCCTTGCAAAAAACTTTATGTAAAAAACGCCTCTCAACGCACGGCAAGGCACAAAAAAGCACTGAGTTTTTATGACTTATAAAATTTTAGAGTAGGGGAGAGTGGGGTAATTTGGCCGGTGGTGTAAATTGGCCGCCCCCACCTGTACCATGTCTAATAAAAGTGAGTGAAATAACTCTAGTCTCTATTCATTTGTCATGGGTAGAAATTACTGGAGGACAAATGTCAAAACTTTGCCCCTCGTAGTTTTATTCAAAATTAATAAAACGTTAATTTCATTAGAAAATGGTAACTTTTGCTTCTGTTTACAAAGTTGTTTAACATGTAGTATTTGGGCTAAAAACGAATTCAGACATTATAGCGCCATTCTTGGGGGTGTTCAGCGGTTCCAAGAGCAATTTCATCTAATTCCGTATAGCCGTGATGACTTTATAGACAAAAATTTTCAGAATGGCGATATGGGGTAATTTGGCCGGGACTAGCGGGGCAACTTGGCCGGTGCGCTCATTGTCACTATGCTAGGACGGCCGAGTTTTCATGTTCAATTGTACTATAAATGACATGATTCATGACCAACTTTGACTACTTTGATGCCTTACTTCCGATTGGTCAACTGTAAGAGCATGTGACGTCATCAAAGGTTACCAAACGTTTTTTGCTAATAAATCCTTACATAAAAATGGTACAGCCACACAAAAGGTCTCATTCTGTTCAGTTCGCCAAGGCGCATCGAATGATATGCATGATGACCTTGAAATCACGTGACCTTGAGGTCAAGCGACCTGAGGTAACGCGACCTGAGGTCAACCTTTGACCTTGACTTCTCGAGGTCAACACATATATGTTTCGATGCGGACTGATGAGAGAATTACGATGGTACTCGAAGTTTTGGCCTAGCTTGATTACTTCAAAAGTTATTCGTAAAAAAACTGTCTTCGCATCTAGAGCCGCTAATTTGGCTATTTTGACCCCCTGTGACCCCTGAGTTAACCTCCAAAATGCGGCAAATGCGTCATAGGACACACGTCATTGCTAAATCTGAAGCTGACTCGCAATATAAGAGAAAATCCCGACCGCAAACTAACACCGGCCAAATTGCCCCACACCCCCGGCCAAATAACCCTGCTAGTGGGGCAATTTGGCCGCCTTGCAGACCTTTGTAATACGTCACAATTTCAATACAAGTAATTACTCATCATTTCAAGTTCACTGTCCAGTAAAGTAAAATGAATGCGACACCTGCCAGCGTTGAGAAAATGCAGAAATGTGTCGTCAATTTTAAGCTACATCGATTTCTAAAAAAAGCGGCCAAATTACCCCACTCTCCCCTACTCGTGTACCCACAGTCTCTCAAACTGATTCCTGGCCCCACTAATGCTGTAACACGCAAAGATCTCGAACTAGATGTTTTTTTTTTGCTAATTACGTCAAATATCTAGGTATCATCTTTCTGTACACTAACGAAGCCGGCGTTCTTTCCAGCCCAGTCAAAAAAAAAAAAGAGGCAGAACATCAAAGCGTCACTCGCAATTAAAGGGAGATAATGAGCTTTCTTTTTTCTTTAATAAAAATTACTCGACATCTATACTATTTCTACTGTAGTTTCTATAAAATATGAAAATTTCCTAGCACATTTTCGTATGTGAAAAAGGTTTTTATTTTTGCAAAAAAGAAGCAGTACTTGCAGTACTTGTAACACCCACCGAAATGCGTTGTCCTTCTCTATAAAAAAAAGTCGCAGTATATGGCGCTTTTGTTTCAAACAGCGACGCTTGGGTTTTTGTTTATGTTATCGCCTCGTCGTTGCTTGGTTGTAAGGATTCTAATTTGAGTTAGAGTTAATTCGGTTTAGAATTAATTCGATTCTAATTCGGGGGTACATAGTGCCTACTCTTCTTTGTTTCGGCATGCGGCATGCGGCACAAATGAACGGCATGCGCCAGAAACGCAGCCAAATCTTGCGATTGCGACTACGAAATTCATTATTTTGGCGTCAGAGCCTGAAGCGAAAAATACAAGCATATTTATTTCAAAAAGACTTCAGGTTTGTCGAACGGTGTTATGAGAATTTTGATAACAGTACTGCATAAGTTTTTCAGTGATGCCGCAAAAGTGTTGTATCTATCTTCTTTTATTGTGCAGTCGGCGGGACCGATTCAAAATTGAGTCGTTGCTACTAAAATAGCAGCATATGGCGTCAGATGATGAACAAGAAAAATAGTTGCGTAAATTTAGACATAAACCACCCCCAAACCATGAATATCTTTTGAAGGCACTATAGACGACCATTAACTAACTAGATGTGATGAAGATCAAATGTAAGGAATACGCTCATTTTACAAAATTACATGCAAGTACCAAAAAGTGATGTAAGTACTTATTCAACGGTCAT